GGCATCACCCATCGCGGCCGGCATCACCCATCGCGGGAGGCATCACCCATCGCGGGAGGCATCACCCATCGCGGGAGGCATCACCCATCGCCGCCGCCCCGGCATCGCCCCCACCCCGGCACCGCCGCCTCGCCCGCCCCGTCCGGCAGCCGCTGGCGGCGGGAGCGCCCCTTTCCCGCCTCTCGCTGCCTCCCCCGCCCGCCTTCCCAGCGCTCCCTCCGCCCCCTCGGCCGGCAGCTCCCGCCCGCCGCTCCCCGCTGCGCAGAGCGGCCGCGCCGGCGGGGGATGGACAGCCAGCGCTGCTTCGCCAACCGCTTCGATGACTACCCGGGCAGCCCCGCGGCGGCGCCGGACAGGGACGCGGCGGTGCCGCTGGTGACGGCCACCATCGAGCGCATCCTGCGGGAGCTGCCGCCCCTGGGCGGCCCCCGCGGGTGCCCGGGCGGGCTGTACGGCGGCGTGGCCGGCGTGGCCTACATGCTGTACCACGTCGCGCAGTGCCCGCTGTTCGCGCCGTCGCGGGACTCGTACCTGCGGGCCGCCCGCCGCGTCGTGGACGCCTGTCTCCGCTACCAGGAGAGCTGCGGCGAGGCCGACGCCGACACCCGCGCCGCCTTCCTGCTGGGCGGYGCCGGGGTGTACGCGGTGGCCGCGCTGGTCTACCGCGCCCTGGGGCTGCCCGAATTCGCCCGGCCGCTGGGCAAGTTCAGGGAGCTGAGCGAGGTTTGCGCGCCGCTCTCCTTCCTCGAGTGCGGCTCCGACGAGCTGTTCGTGGGCCGCGCCGGCTACCTGTGCGCCGCGCTGGTGCTGAAGCAGCGGCTGGGCATGGAGGTAAGGGCGGGCCGGGGGCGGTGGAGCATCTCTGGGGTCACCGATCCCGCTGTCGGTGGGTGCCCGGGGAGCTGGGGCGGTCACCCGGGCCGAGCGCGGTGGGGCATCTCTGGGGTCACCGATCCCCCGTCGGTGGGTGTCCAGGGAGCTGGGGCGCTCACCCGGGCCGGGGGCAGTGGGGTATCTCTGGGGTCACCGATTCCCCGTCGGTGGGTGCCCAGGGAGCTGGGGCGGTCACCCGGGCCGGCTTTCCGTGCTCAGCCGGGCCGGGACAGTGCCCTCGGTGCTGGGGGAGCGCAGCCGTGCCGCGGCTGTTTGCAGCTTGCACTTTGGGGGGCCAGCTTCAGGACGAGCCCCCGGGAGCCGAGGGCTTTCCCTGGCAGCTSTTCCTCCCCGAAACGAGAAGATGCGGCTTTGGCCGGAGGGAGCGGGATGGGGTCCCGTCTGCGGAGCGGAGCGCTGCATCCCGGGGCACGCCGAGAGCAGCAGCTGTTGGTTGCCCGGTGATGATTTACTTGGCAGAAGCCACCCCGGGCTTTTCAAGAGTATTTCCGTAAAATGAAGTGGGTAAGAAAAACAGCGTTGGGTGAAACAGAGTGAGGAACGCTGTGGTACGAAGCGGTGCTGTGCTGTAATCTCTAAGCAAGGAACCCGCTTTTCAGGGGCATTTGGTCGTGCTGACCCCAGCCTGTAGACTTTCGGAAGACGTCTGGTCATGTATTTTGGTGCTTTTCATGAATGAGAGCAGGAGATTTTTTGCTGCAAGTGTGAGATGTGTTTGTGGTTCAGAGTAGTATTGGTTTCAGTAGCCAGGACTTTACCCTAGGATATTGTCAGTACAATTCAGCCAACAATTTAGAGCTTCAACTGATTACGGTATAATAATTATTGCAACTGATTCTGTTTGCTGTGGTGATTGTTACTAAGTGGTCAGTGTGGTATCTGAGCAGGCAGTTGGTAGATTTTTTTCCCCTGTCCTCCTGTCAGGTCCAATCTGTGTTTCCTCTGTTAATCACTGATTTGCAAGTTCATACGCTTCTGGCTTTCTTCCCTCCCAGGAGAGGAAGCAACATTTATTTATAAGTAAATAAATGATGTAAAAACAAGTGGCTCTGCCCCATCCAATACCAGTCACTGCAATTGGAGTCTGAGGAAATTCACTTAATGGAGATCTCAGGAGGCTCCAGGGTATCYGGAGAAGCCAAGAAGAATGTTAAGTCAGTTATACTTTGATTGCCTTGAACTGGAATTCTTACCACACTATGCATTTAAAGTAGCATACCGAGCGTGCTGTTTCTTTGTATAGGATTGTATGGCAATCATTTGTTACCATAACCAAACCTTTCATTCTGATGGCATTTTCCATGRCAGCAAAGTTTTGTAAGACACATCTCAGTCCTGTGTTGCAGCAGTGCCTGCCTGAAGGGTGGTTTCTCATGGAGAATAARCCCTGTTGGTTCAGTTTGCACTGGRGGAGTGTGTSCAGTACCCATGTCAGTGCTTATGMTGGGGTYGTGACATACYARYAGAAGGAGGTGSCCCCCTGKGCTCTGCTGCTTTATTTAATGCCTTTTTCCATTTGCCTTACATCCCTGCAATTGCTGAGCAGTTGGGAGAGAGGGTGCAATCACCTCTCACAGGCACTGTGAGGAAGGGGAGAGCTCTCTTCTGCTTGCTTCTGTGTGAAAAAACATACTAAAGGCAACTGTAAAGAGTTAAACATCCCCACAGATAAGCACAGGTATGCACTTACTGTGGAATATGCTTAGCAGGTGGGTTAATTAATATGTTGCCAATACAACATGTCCTGTGATCCCTTTCTGATGTTTWCATTGATGAGCTAATGTCCTTCTATAGTATTTTTTTTTTGTCAAACACATTGTAATTTTAAATGCATAGTGCRAGAAATAAAACACACTGTTAATTATTAGTAAAACCAAATTCCATTTTTTTAATTTTAGCAAAGATTTTTAAAACTTCCAATTAAAACATTTTGCTCCTTTGTGAGGAAATTTATGATTTCTAGTCTATATGTACTCAAGCTTGAGGAAAATTTGTGACCTTTGATAAATATTCCCAGCCTGSTGCAGAATTATTTTAATTAGTACATTGCCAGCCCAAACCTTGCATCTTTTTACAAATGARGAAAGGGATGCCCAGAGAGAGTGCATGTCATTTATTACCCAAGGTCAAACTGTAAGCCAGGTACATCCCAGAATAGAAGCAATATCTTGTGATTCGAACCACTGGAAAATGCTACCTCCTGTAATTTGATTGTGCACAGCCTCACATGGCTCATTGCAGCATGTTTTCTTGTTTCCCCCCCCTTTTTTTTTTTTTTTTTTTTTTTTTTTTTTTTTTTTTTTTTTTTTTTTTTTTTTTTTTGAGGACACTGTGCAAACATTTCCAGCACAAAGTGAAATCCATTCCTTACATTGAAACACAGCCGCTGCTGCCCGCATGGATTTTTCCTCTGAAGGAGTCAAATGGTGACCTATATACGAGAAATYGTTTGTCCTTGAAAAAAGCCTTTGGAGGGAATTTTATAATTTATGTCTTGGGTTTGTTTTATTATTTCATGCAAGCAGGGACAGAAGGAGACAGCTTTATTTTAGCAAACGTGAATTTAACTCAGCTACTGTGCCCCARTATATCAGTTTCTTGCTAAAGAGTGCTGGTGTCTTTAAGCTCTACATGTTCTTCATGAAGTTAATGGACTGTCCTGAAGGATCCAATCTGTTGGATAATACTGACCTCATGTGAAGAAGGCATTTGCATTCAGCTGGTTTTCAAATTTTTAGGCTAATACAGCATTTTTCCCTGATGAATTAATTGGGATTTTTTGCATGAGTAAGGATTACTTCAACAGTCAAGGCTTAACAGGATTTGACTTTCATGATGCAGCGTGCATTAGGAAGGATGTTTATTTTCATCCCTTCTTYAATTTCCATTATATTGCAGTCAGTGCTTCTCAGACAGAGATAGGTAAAATATTGTTTTGGCAGAAACGGTGTGTCATTTGCATAAGGTGCATGTACATTAGCTGTCCTTAACTGCTGTGTTTTCACCGGTCAGGTAAAAAATATTGTTTTATTCTCTCCTAAGTGCATCTTTTTCTAATGCTCATAGTGTTGGTTCATTACGTGTCCTTGGGGAAATCTGTCAGTCCTGCTTTTAATTATCTCCACTCAATCTGTGCTTGGGCAAACAGCCGTAAGTCACYGTTAAAATGGTGGTCCCATCCCTCCCTTCGGATGATATTTCATCCTCTCCTCCGTTTTTCCCCGTGATGCTTCAGTCCCATTTCATGGTTGATGGAGCATGGTGTGCCTCGGTCGTTGCACTCCCTTCTGGCAATGTAACTGTCAGATGACGGAGGAAAAGGTACACAAGTTCAAGTGGCTCCTTGTATTACCATCTGCTGAAGATGTCGCCGCCTCTTCGCGCAGCTTGGGTTATCTTTTAATAACTCACTGTGTGGATGGGCTCCACTGACTGCCACTGGCTCAGGGCTGCAGCAGCACAGGCAGCAGTGGTGCCCTGTAGGACAGGGCAGCATTTTGTATGACAGCCTGGTGCTGGGATTTCATTTGGGACCGTGGTTTGAGAGGACATTGGGGACCCCAGCACAGACCCGTGCTGCAATTGCAGGGTGATAAGCTGAACTGTGGCAGCAACATGGCCAAACCGGTTCCCTTAGGGACTGAGGCACTGGGGTGAGTCTTGAGAGCCTCTAGAATTTTATTCTCTCTCATGCCGTGATGGTTAAGCTTTCTGTCTCTGTGGCAGAGGGGCATCTCTGTTTTTTTATCCAGCCAATTCTCTGTCATGGTTTGGTGTGTGTTTCCAGGTGTGTTGTCCTGTCAGAGTGTGCACAATTCTGATATTCTGTCAGGACCTGCCCAGAAAGGCAATGGTCTTTCTAGCAGGACCTCGTTGAGTGTAGGGCCCTACTAAAAACCATCCTTACCCTGGCTGCTGTCCATCACCAGAGCTTCTTTTGTCTTGGACTTCACAAGATTGCAATACAAACCGAACAAACTTCACCCGGTGTGCAGAAAGCAGGAATAGCATGATCTGCTCTTGGCATGTCTGAGATCTGGGTGCCTGAGCAAGGGAAGTGTCAGGCATTATTTTAAAAGTCAGTGGAAGGGATGGATGTGCAGTGTGTAGAACCTGRCAGGTACAGTCAGTGTGTATTTCCTAATATTCTGGGAGAGAAGATACAAATGAACAAAAATTATTTTCTTTCATTTCCTCAGACAATTCTAGATGATGTTATTTGTTCCTTAGAGTCTTCCCTCCAGCTACTCAGCTAGTTTCTAGAGACTATTGTAGGCTAATTTGCTCCATTTTTTTKCTGTTTTTTTCAATCTCTTAGAAAAAAATGGAAAGTATGAGAGGAAGGATCTTCCTGCCTAGARCATGTTCATTTGCAACTCCTTAAASTGGAATGTTGRTGTATTAATGCRGAACATAATCTTTCTGAAAGACWCTCAATGGACAGATCTTAGCTAGGGAAATCCACAAAATACCCCAAAAATTGATGCACCTCTGTGTGCTGTAGTGCAGATTCCCCATCTCACCTGCACCTGAAAGGGGAGGGTTGGCYCTTGAGGTGAAATTTCATTCCTCCACTGTGGCCATTAAAGCSCTTTCTCTCTGTGGAAGAATTTGCCACTTTCTCTGAAACGCTGTGGTGTTTTAAATGTCAGATATCGTGGTGCTAGCTGGGACTGTGCTGATTTCATTATTTCGTTTCACACAGGCCACTATACAGCCAGGATGTCTTTTTCTGCCAGAGGATCAAAATGAGTTAACAGTAAAGATAAAATCTTTTGATCCTAGTCTGCCTCTTTTAAATGTACAGTCTCCTAGCCATGGTTTTCAAAATCRTACACAGGGGATAAATTTTGCATTAATTTGCTTAAATGGATCAATTTAAACCGTGAGTTAAAACTGGGTTTTTCTGAAACAAACAGTGTAACAAAGGGAATTAT